GAAGACTGCTTTCAAGACTAGGTATGGTCACTACGAATATGTTGTGATGCCGTTCGGTGTGACTAACGCCCCAGCTGTGTTCATGGATTACATTAACAGGATTTTCCGGCCGTTCTTGGATAAATTTGAGGTGGTATTTATTGATGACATCCTAATTTATTCAAGGACCCCGAATGAGCATGGTGAACACTTGAGGTTAGTGCTGGAGATTTTGAAGGCGAAGCAGCTGTACGGTAAGCTTTCGAAATGTGAGTTTTGGGTGGATGAGGTGAAGTTCTTGGGCCACGTGATCTCAGCTGGGCGGATTGCTGTTGATCCGGCTAAGATGGAGTCGGTGTTACAGTGGGAGTGTCCAAGAACTGTCCCTGATATTCAAAGCTTTGTGGGTTTGGCGGATTACTATAGGAGGTTCATTGAGGGATTCTCCAAGATAGTAGCGTCTCTAACCCAGCTTACGAGGAAGGAGCAACCGTTCATTTGGATAGATGCCCGTGAGCGGAGTTTTGATGAGCTGAAGAGGAAGTTGACTACTTCTCATGTGCTGGTGTTGCCGGATTCTGGTGAGCCCTTTGATGTGTACTGTGATGCCTCTCACCAGGGTCTAGGGTGTGTGCTGATGCGAAACAGGAAAGTAGTGACGTATGCTTCAAGGCAATTGAAGAACCATGAGAGGAATTATCCCACTCATGATTTGGAGTTGGCAGCTGTGGTGTTTGCCTTGAAAATATGGAGGCATTATTTGTATGGTGCTCGGTTCAGTGTCTTCAGTGATCACAAGAGTCTGAAGTACTTGTTTGATCAGAAGGAGCTGAACATGAGGTAGAGGCGGTGGATGGAGTTTCTAAAGGATTATGACTTCTAGCTGATGTATTATCCTGGCAAGGCTAATGTTATGGCAGATGCGCTAAGTAGGAAATCCATCCACATGTCGAGTATAATGGTGAGGGAGCTGGAGCTGGTTGAGGAGTTCAGAGATCTACCAGAACGGGCCGTGCTGGTTTCAAAACGGGTCGTTCTGGTTCCAGAATTTATTCTTTAATTTTTATTTTATTTTTATTTTATTTTATTTTTGCTAATCCAATAAAAAAATTCAATAAAATCCAAGTTATCGAAAATAAAAATTATCACGGGAAAATATTTACTAAAGTACAAAGCATTTCAAACACTAGATTTGGTAATATTGTTAATGGGGATTTGATAATTTCAATTACAAAATATTTGGGCTATACAGTGTATCATTAAGGACGATGCAATATATCACTAAGGACAATGGTATAACAAGTTTTATTTCATTGTTAGTCAAACTGGAGTGAACTACTTACTACTAAATTAACACTATACAGTCAAGGATGAAACGAAATAGTGTTTCCCCTTGAAGTCATTGACGATGTACCCCAACAATAACAACTTGTTCTTGAGGAGGTACAACTTGAATTTTTGTGATTTAGGGTTTAGGGTTTAGGGTTTTTTAGTCAAGATTTTGAACTGGATAAGTTCAAATCAAAGAAGGATTTTAGAAGATCTTATCTTATTTAATTTTTTTAGTTTTATTCATAAATAAATATTAATTTATTGTATTTTTTATTTATTATATTTTTATTAATATAGATATAATAAAAAAATACAATTAAAAACATGAATTTGACATTCTGGAACGGGCCGTTCTGAATTCAGAACGGCCCGTTCTAGAAGCAGAACGGCCCGTATATACAGAAGTGAACATGTAACCAAAAGATGAGTTTATACACTAATACTAGTGCATCTAAGAATGGAAATTTTGAAGCAAATTTCAAAACGTACTAATTTAAATTTAACAAATGATTCATGTTTACTAATTTTTGAAAAGAAAAACAGTATTGATCAATTCAATAAATAAATAAATAAAAACCTCTAAATTCGTTGAAAAGAAAAATGTCTTCATCCATTCCAAGTTATCAGCAACTAATGTGGGACATCAATTTCTTAACTAAGCGTTATGAACTTATAATTTATTTGAGATAAATGATGAAATATTTTTAGGTTAAATACCTCTTTTGGTCTCTTACAATATTTTTTTGTTTCAATTTAGTCTTACTTTAATTTTAGGTCTCAATTTAATCCCCAATAAATTAAATCATTGCAATTTGGAACTTCCGTCTAAATGATTTAAACGGAGTTAATTGATGGTCACGTGGATGCCACGTAAGTGGATCCCAAAATACTGGAATACACCTGGAACTAGAACGACCCGTTCTGAAACTAGAACGACTCGTTCTGAAACCAGAACGGCCCATTCTGGTTACACTATTGGTGTGTAAATTTTGTACATGGAACGGGCCGTTCCAGGTGCAAAATTAACACACCAACAGTGTAACCAGAACGGGCCGTGCTGGTTTCAAAACGGGTCGTTCTGGTTCCAGAATTTATTCTTTAATTTTTATTTTATTTTTATTTTATTTTATTTTTGCTAATCCAATAAAAAAATTCAATAAAATCCAAGTTATCGAAAATAAAAATTATCACGGGAAAATATTTACTAAAGTACAAAGCATTTCAAACACTAGATTTGGTAATATTGTTAATGGGGATTTGATAATTTCAATTACAAAATATTTGGGCTATACAGTGTATCATTAAGGACGATGCAATATATCACTAAGGACAATGGTATAACAAGTTTTATTTCATTGTTAGTCAAACTGGAGTGAACTACTTACTACTAAATTAACACCATTTCAAGCTCTCTTCTTCTTCTTCTTCTTCTTTGTCTCTTCCCAGAGCTCGGAGCCGTTTAACCGAGGTAAGGGAAGTTAGTTTTCTTGATGGCTGGATGAAAATGAGTTTTGCAACTCATGGATAGTTGGATGTTGAATGATTTTGGCTGAGATTGATAGCTGTTTTGGTGAAAATAAGTTTTCGGGGTTTTCAGGGTATTGGAGAAAAAATTTGGGTTTTTCTTGTGTGATGATTGCATGTGTGAAAAGATTATATTTTTGAACTCTTGGATGAAAATGTGAACTTTTGGCTGGATTGCATGTGCTGGATGAGTAGATTTTTGCAGATTTTGGGCAAATTTTTGAACTTGGTGGGTTGCTGCCGAGCTTCGCGCTGAGCGTTGTTCTACGCGTCGGGCACGAAACCACCTGGAGGCTCCTTTTAGGCAAGCCCGCCGGGCGCAAAGATGTGTGCGCGGGGCGAGCTTGAGAAGGTGAGCCTCTGGATGGCCCATGCCGAGCGTGACATGGATCGCGCCGAGCGCGCTGGTAGTATGTGACATGTTTTGGGGGTCTGGTTCCACGCTGAGCGCGACCCTCTTCGCGCTGGGCGCGGGGACTCCTTGGGAGTCTCTGCCATGGGGGCGCTGGGCACAATTTAAATTGTGCTGAGCGCGAGACCTTGGGAGGTCTCTGCCTTCCCCGTGCTGGGCGTAGGTTAGGGCACGCCGGGCGCGCGAGACTCCTTAGAGACTCTACTTGGGCTTGCGCTGGGCGCAATTTTGTATTGCGTCAGGTGCGTAAGAGCCTTGGGCTCTCTGGCTGGGTCACGCCGGGCGCGGGCACTCTTGCGCCAGACGCATTGACCACTAGTACTCTCTGGTTGCGCCACGCCGGGCGCGACTATGAGTGCGCTGGGCGCGTATGATGATGTTGACTTATATGCTGATAACTGTTGATTTATGCTGAAATTGTTGATAGATGTTGTTTTATGCTGAATTAAGCTGTAATTGATGAATATGTTGTGCTAACTAGATGATAATGCTGAAAAATGATGTTAAGCTGTAATAGATGTATATTATCGTGCTGAGCTGAGCTATTATTGATGATTCTAATGCTGAATTATAATATTGTTGTACTATAGAATGTTGAGTTGAGTTGTGAGTAGTAAGCTGTGTTGAATACTAATTGGCCGTGCTGTGTGCTGATATTGTTGTACTGTGCTGAGCTGTATGTTGTTATAGCCGCTAAGTCAGTGCTGTTATTGCCGCTAAGTCGGTGCTGTTATTGCCGCTAAGTCAGTGTTGATATTGTCGCTAAGCGGTGCTATTATAGCCACTAGAGTGGTGCTGTTATTGCTGCTATGCAGTGCTGATATTGCCGCTTTGCGGTGCTGATAATTACTGAATGCTGTGGTGTAGTATAAGCTGGTTGGTGTGCTGATAGCTGTAGCTGTTTTAACATTCATATTGTTATATATGTATGCTGATTTCTTTTCACTAGCTTACCCTTTGTTGTTTCCATGATGTTTGGACTGCAATGATCATACTATGTATGGGAGCAGAGCATGGATAGGTTGGTGGCTGGTGGTGAGTCTGCAGCTGACAGACGGAGCTGATATATTAGGATATTTTGTTGTTTTAGTTGTTTGGTGTAGTAGCATTTGATGTATTTTGTACACTTTAACTTTATCCAGACTTGGACCTTGTATATGTATATATTCTAGACCCTATATGTATACACTTGTTCCTTTCTGTGTGGTGTTTCTAGTGTGTTGTGCGGTGTGTAGTGACCAGCTGGACCGTTACAGTACCCCCAAAATATTTTAGTATAAAATAATAAAGCTTGTTTAAATTTAACACTTTTTCACACAACATTTAAATTTAGTAAAAGGACTCACTCATCTAAATTCATTATATAAAACTTCATTTATATTAAATAGAAATGAAACAAGAATAAATTCATAAAATATGCACAAATGACTTTTACAAGTTCTCCAATGCACCCATAAGTTTATTTTTATCTATTTATGTTTTATATTATTATTATTATTATTATTATTATTATTATTATATATATATTTAAGAGGAACTTGATGTTTTTTTATTCATGAACTCTAAATATTTAACATAAATAAATATTTTTTTAAAAAATAAATTGTTTTTTATAAACTAAAGATATTTAAATATATTTAATAATTTATATCAATTAATATGATATCTTAATTTTATATGATTGGAGGTGTCAGTTTCCATTTCCGGTTGGACCGAACGCGGCTAAAGTGTATACTTTCCTATCCTCGTGCATTTGGATTCTGAAAACAACTGAAAATCATGCGAAACTGTCTTATCATTGCCATTACTTTACCTCATTCCTTCGCTCTCTCTTTCCTCCTCTTTTCATCTTCCAGCTTCTGAACTCCCTATATATACCATTACCATCTTTTCTTTTCTTTTCATTCTCATTATTATTATCTTTGTTCTGTATTTCACAACCAAGTACTGAACTTCTCTGGTTGTATTGAGGAGAATCCTCTTTTCATTCTCATTGTTTGTGTTGGAGGTTTAGTGAGGATGGGACAAGTGTTTGGTTGCGTGCAAGTGGATCAGTCAAGTGTGGCAATCAAGGAAGGGTTCGGGAAGTACAATGATGTTCTTGACCCTGGTTGCCACTGTGTGCCTTGGTGTTTCGGCAGTCGTGTGGCTGGTGCCCTTTCTTTGCGTGTCAAACAGCTCGATGTTCGCTGTGAAACTAAGACAAAGGTTCTTTTTTCTTCCATTCTCACTTCCTTCTTTGCTGTTCTTCTCTTGTCTCAGTTCAAGTATTTTGGCTTTAATCTCTTATCACAATTCAAGTATCACTTCAGTGACTTATGTTGATCTTTGTTATGTGAAATACTGAAATATCGAGCTGAAGCTCTACTTCTGGTTGGAAAATAATACCAAAAATACATACCATTTTACCATAAGATTAACCACGTCAATACTAATCCTAAGTCTTAATCAATGAAGTGTAAATGATTTACAGATAACAATTGTACCTTAAATATGTAGTTAAGGGTTTGATTTTGATTATGACACGCACAAAAAATCATTCATTCAGAAAGGTTAGTCCTTTAAGAGATCTCAATTTTTCAAAAGATTAGTACTTAACTTCTAGGTGAGGATACCTTGATACACCACAAGAAAAAAACAAAACTTACAATAATATGTATTATACCATTAGTGTCTCTCTTAGCAAGTAGTCTAGAATTAAAGTTGACTGTCAGAAGACTCAGAACCAAGGTTGTTGGTCAGCACTTGGCATGAAGAAGGATACTAGAGATGTAATGTAAAATCATGGATGTGTTGAAATATCAAACAATATTTTTGTTTGGTCATTATTTTTTCGTACAAATGATTGCACATTTATGTATCCTGATTACTGGCCGAATTATTTGACTGACCATGTTGTAATGCATTCATCAGGACAATGTCTTTGTTACTGTGGTTGCTTCTATCCAATATCGAGTATTGGCAGAAAAGGCAGTGGATGCTTATTACAAACTCAGCAATACCAGTGCACAGATACAATCCTATGTCTTTGATGGTGGGTATTTCAGTGCTTGTGTTCTGAATCTACTGCTTAAAAAATAAATAAAAAAATTAGGCTTGTGTGTTCATCATCAGATTGAAACTCATACTCCTGTTGCTATTTTAGTTATCAGAGCAAGCGTTCCAAGGATGGAACTAGATGCTACTTTTGAGCAGAAGAATGATATTGCAAAAGCTGTGGAGGAAGAACTTGAAAAGGTATCCCCTTTTGCTTTAGTTTTAAATTAAGAAAGAAGTAGGAAATTCTTAATCTGTTTGCTTTTACTTTCTAGGCTATGTCAGCTTATGGGTACGAGATAGTTCAGACTCTTATTGTGGATATTGAGCCAGATGAGCATGTAAAGAAAGCCATGAATGAGATAAATGCTGGTATGTTTTCTAGATGTTTGTGTATTTGCTTCAGTTATAGTTAGTTACTCACATTTCCTTTTCAAGCATGAAAACAAAATAAATTTAAGTTTAGTGTGGTGTCTAGGGATTTCCTAGCTGAAAGGTTTTGATTGGAGAGTTTTTGTTCCCCTTGCCATTATATAACTAAAGCTGTATTATTACCTTAGAGACGAGTTAGTTGGACCTGATACATATATAAACATATTAGACAAAAGCCTAGACTTCTCATGGAGCTAACAAGTTTTAATAGTGAATCATTTTTCTATATAGTGAACATATTCATTAGCATCATTATCCTGAACAATTACTTTCTTATACTTGTTGGTGTCACCTTAATTACACAACTTTGCATAAGACTTCAGGCCAAGTAATTATGGACTTGTTAGTTGATGAATTGGCTAGTTTGTGAGAGATAACTTCGTAGATCTTTTAGAGATACTTTTAGCTAAAGATTTATCTTGTTTGAACAAAAAATTATTTGACATATATGAATTTAGTTTTCCTAATTACCCTTTTCATTGTTCTTTTACCATGATAAATAGCTGCAAGATTGAGGGTGGCTGCAAACGAGAAAGCAGAAGCAGAGAAGATATTGCAGATCAAGCGAGCAGAAGGCGATGCAGAATCAAAGTACTTAGCAGGGCTTGGCGTTGCTCGTCAGCGCCAAGCCATAGTAGATGGACTGAGGGACAGTGTGCTTGCTTTCTCTGAGAATGTGCCTGGCACAACATCAAAGGATATCATGGACATGGTTCTCATGACCCAATACTTTGACACAATGAAGGACATTGGTGCATCCTCAAAATCCAATGCTGTTTTCATTCCACACGGACCTGGTGCTGTAAATGATGTTGCTTCACAAATCAGGGATGGTCTTCTCCAAGGAAATGCAACACTGTCTTGAAGACTTGCATATTATACCTCTACTCTAGTAGTTTAAAGTTTAAACAGCTTCACAACTATGTGCATAAGCACTTAAAAGTAAACAAAACTGTCTTGCAAATAGAAGTTATATTATTGGTGGTTTGTGTTTGTTTTAATGTTATGTTATGTAGAGTTATCCTTGGCTTTGTCTACTATCAGAGTTAGCCTTTGAGAAGCCTCGACTACAGAATGTGCACTCACAAAACCTTTGGGCTTTGGTTAGGTTTATGAAGGTGCTGGCCTTCTTATAAGTTTGTGAAATTTATTAAAAATAAATCATAAATTTTTAATGTAATGATTTGAGTTTGAGTTTTAAATATGTAGTTGGTTATATACTATATAAAAAAATTCAAAATATATAAATATTGACCTATAAATGTAGTGCAAATTTGATTTGAAGTGATAGCATATGAAAATGAGGTTGTAGTTTGGAATCTGGAGTAATCTATACTGGTTTTCAGATTGGAACCTTGATATTGTGTTTGTAATTTCAACAAATAAAAAATAAATGAATATGAGACTTCAATTTTCTCTATTTTTGGTGATCACAGTCACGGGGATGATGCTAGTGAACACGTAAACAGTATTGCTAAAATAAAAACGCGTTGTCGAAGACTTGAAGTTTTTCCAATATTACGTTTTGACTAAGAAGAAAGTAACGCAAAATTTTCTTTCTTAAAAAAAATTAAAAATAAGTATTTTGAAAGAATAACTGAGACTTGAAATTTGTTTTTAATATGATTATTATTTTTTTTTGAAAAAACATGAAAGTTTTTAAAAATAATTAAAACTGGACTTTTAGAAAGGAAAAAAAATAACATAAAAAGATATTTCACTAGATTTAATTTCTTTTTAAAAAAAATGTAAAAGCAGGTATGAAACAATGGTAGAGACGTAAAGGTATGCGCCACAAGATTTTATTTTATTTTTATAATAAAAATGCCTTCATATTAAAAAATGGAGATTAAATTTATAATATAAAAAGTAGCATATGGATAGTAAAGAAAAAGTGAAAAAAAATTGTATCCGTAGATTATTTAACTTTTGGTATTTTTAGAAAGAAAAAAAACTTTTGGTATTCTTATTATCGATGAATTTAATTAGAATATATTGAAAATATAATATTTTTATATACTTTCATTTAATTGCGAATTGTGATATAAGGTAGATGTGTAGAGTTTTATAATAATCACTTTAAAAATCATAATTAAAATATTTTTTATTCAAAATAGTGTAAAATATTTTATATTAAAAAAATAATAAAACTTTTACATTGTCAAATAAAAATTTAAAGTCATCAAATTGTTATAATAATGTGTAGAAATGAAAAATAAACTTGTACTCATAAGTAATGTTTGAATTCATCTGATTTTAGTGAAGAATATTCAATTTGATCGAGTATGTTACGAATATGAATAATACCATATTAAATTGGATACATATACTTACCTGTCCTGTACTCGTCTTCGTCCTCAACCTACTTTAAATTTTTAGAAATTTAATTATTTTTTTTTAAATTTACTTAATATTTATATAATTTTTATTCTATTTTAAAATTATGTTAGTGAAAGTTAATTAATACAATTTTGTAATAAACTACTAGGGTTAGCCTAGTGGTTGGGTGGGGGGGG